ACACACACACAAGTAAATAATCACATGCACAAAGACACTAGTGGTGGATCGCCTTTTTTTCTTTCTTCTTGTCCTTAGCCCTCTTATCCTTCTTGGCTTTGCGGTCGCTGCTCTCATCATCCTTGCTGCTGTCACTCTCTTCCTCTGAATCATCTCCTTCCTCCTGCCTGTCCTCCGCTTGGAACAAGTCAGAGATCTCGTCGACAAACTCCCCACACTCTTCATCCTCCACCAAAACGAGATACTGGAGAAGTCCTTCCACGGTGCAAGACGTGTTGATCTCGGATTGTTCCCCCCCCCCCCCCCCCGCTCCCCAAGCCTGGAAGCTCCGGGTGGTGACGGATTTCCTTTGCCCGGAGCTCATCATCCATCTCCTTTCTCAGTATGATCGAATTGACGACCTCGGCGTCGCCCCCGAAGAGCGGGAGCATCTGCGGCTTCGTGAGCCAACGTCTAACACCGCGGCGGGTGTTGCGCGTTGAGGACCTTATCGTCTTGAGGACTAAGCTCTTTGACCAATTCCCCTTGCAGTGGTAAAAGTCCTCATAGAGCGCAGACATCTTGTCTTTGCCTTGCATGAATGTCTGTACATGTACCAAAGCTTTCATGTGTACATGTGTGCGTGACACATGAAAGGAAATGCTTCTGCCACAGCACAATACTTCGATGCTTCGTAGGCGCGCTTTATCTCTTTAGGCGTGTCCCGGCCTAAATCGATCGAGGCAGTGAACTCGCTGGGGGTTGAGCTTCATCTATTTTGATGCAATGATGTATGATTCTGAGGTTGCCGCCGTGCACACGGCGCCAAAACCGCATATACAGCCTGTGTGCCTGCTTCTTCTTGTCATCCTGATCATCCTCCTCATCCTGTGGCACAATTGCATGCTTCTTGTCCTCCTCGGTTGTCTTCCTGCCTCCACGTGGGCTGCCTCCCTCCTTGTCTGTGGCCTTGGGCTTCCGTGGCGGTGTATCCGTGCTGCTCCTTGCGGTGGCGCGGTCTTGCTTTGCCTTCTCATCTTCCTCCTCCGATGACGCTTTGCACTTTGTGTTGGTCCTGCTGGGGGCCTTGCTTGTCTTGGCCTTAGCCTTGGGTTTTGGGCTCGTCTTCAGGAGTTTCGGGGAGGCCTTTGCCTTTGCAGAACTTTTTGGCTTGCTTTCGGCGTTGTTGCCCTCCGGCTTGCAGGGTGTCTTCGGTTGCTTCGTGTTCGAGTCCTTGGCCTCATTGAAGTCTTGTTCCAATTGTCGCTGAACCTGCTGGGCTTTCTGCTTCCGGTCGCTGGTGTTTTCCAGGTCTGTGGTCTGGGGTCGGCGCAGTGCTGCTTGCACTTTCTCGGGAAGCTTCGTGCCGGAGCT